GTTTTCTTTTGCTGTCAGAGACGCGTGATCCTCAGGACACATGCACAAAACTATCATTTCTCTGTTTATATATGTATATATGTATATATGTAGTTTATGTTTACTAAAGTCACGTGTTGGCCTTGGCGTAGTGTGCATGTTGGTTCTAGTTGTACATGCATCAGGAAAACACACATTTCTCTGCAGGCGTCTGGGCCTCGTGCCAGTTCTCAGGACGTCCTTGATGACTTCTGAACACAGTCTGGTTTGGTGTCTGCAGATTCCAACCCCCCCCCCCCCCACACACACACACACACACACACACACACACACACACACACACACACCCCCTATAAGAAAAGGTCTGGATGAAATGTAAACATGCTCAAACACACACATTAGTGCTTTTGTCGCCTCAGTTTCCGTCCTTCTTGCAGGAGTTTGCTGCTCCTCTGCAGCTGAACTCTTCTGCCCTTTACGCCGGCCTCCTGCTGGCCTCCCGCTCTGCTGCCAGCAGTCTGTGGGACGGACAGACGGACAGAAATAACCACGAGCTGTCTGCATTCATATCAGATCATGACTCACAATTTATGAGCGGTTTGTTCATAATCACAGCGCTGAGTGGCCCAAACACAAGGCAGTCACTAAGTTACTAATGTAACTAAGTACTTCTGCTCAAGTACTTAGAGGTACTATTACTTTACTTGATTCTTTTCATGCATTTACTCTAACAGCTTTTGTTACTTTGAAGAAACAGATTTCTGCTCACTAAACATGTTTTGTTTTAAATGAAATTGTCCAACATTTGTATACAAGTACAGCTGATCTTAGAAAATATATTGTCTTGATCTCGTGGTTTAATACTGTGTAGAGCAATATTAAACATGTATTAATATGTGAGCGATCACATATTAATACATGTTAAATGGTGATAGTTTAAAATAATAAAGTAAATTGAACATTGAGAAGATAATTAGCAGATTGATTCATAGTGAATGTAATTGTTAATTTAGAAGTTATGTAAACTTTGTAGAGTTTCAGCACAAATATAAGTTTTTACTCAAGTAAAGTACCTCAATATTGTTAAGTATTTCCATTTATCATACTTTTTACTTCTACTCTGCTACATTTAGTGGAAAATATTGTACTTTTTACTGCCTGACAACTTAAGCTACTTTACAAATAATAATTTTGCAGTAAAAATTATATTATAAGCTTATTAATAACAACGCTTTGTCCAACTTCAGCAGCAATATTTGAGTGAGAAGGATTGTGGCACCCCCTGGCGGCCAGTCTGTAGAAGTGAGACATGGCAGCAGTTTGGTGTTGGTTTTTATCTAATACTAGAACTACTACTAGAACTACTAGAACTGCAACTAATACTAGAAATAATACTAGAACTACTAATACAACTAGAACTACAACTAATACTAGAACTACTACTACAACTACTAGAACTACTACTAGAACTACAACTACTACTACTACTAGAACTAATACTACTACTGCAACTACTACTACTACTACAACTACTACTACAACTAATACTAGAACTACTACTACAACTACTACTACTACTACTGCAACTACTACTGCAACTACAACTACTACTACTACTACTACAACTGCAACTACTACTACTGCAACTACTACTACTGCAACTACTACTGCAACTACAACTACAACTACTGCAACTACTACTACTGCAACTACTACTACTGCAACTACTACTACTGCAACTACTGCAACTACTACTACTGCAACTACTACTACTGCAACTACTACTACTACTACTACTGCAACTACTACTAGAACTACTACTACAACTACTACTACTACTACTGCAACTACTACTGCAACTACAACTACAACTGCAACTACTACTACTGCAACTACTACTACTGCAACTACTACTGCAACTACAACTACACCGAGCTGGAGCTGAGATTTTAGAAATATTAAGCCGGCTGAAGAAAGACAAAATGAAACCCTCATAACTTCTAGAGTAACTTTTTATTAATTCCTTTAAATACCAAATCTTGCTTCTCAGCTTTCACAACCTTTTCTTTAGTTTTTAAAGTACATTGTGTTGTTTTTCATTGTTAAATTAGTCTAACTAGTAAATGTGCTATTCATTCAGAATTATAGTTAGAAGTATTAAGATCCTATACTACAGTAAAAGTACTAATACTACACTATAAAAATAGTCCAATACAGGTAAAAGTACAGCATTCGAAGCCTAACTTGAAGTGAGTGAGTTAAAGGTAATTCACAGTAAAAGTACTTATTGTACAGCAAAATGTTGCTTCTGGATTAATATTATATTTTACTGCTGTAGATGTTTTAACTCCTTTATATACTGTTGGCTTCTATATGACTGTATTATGACATAACATACTAGACTGTTTTTTTAATGACATACTATAACTTTAAAAAATGTTTTTAATGACATTCGGTCCTCGCAAAAATAAAAGCACGTGATCATTGTAACGGAGCCTGTTTTTATTTTTGTATATTTTTCTGCAAAATACAAATACTATCACATCTCTGTGAGGGAGTTGATGTACATGTACATGATCTCTGACTTTGTTTTTCTTCTGAGAAACTTTGTCTCCAGGTGGCGACAGAAGGCCAGCTTATGCCGCTAACAATCTGTTAATATTTAACTGGTGTTATTAGAAGCACGTAGTGGGAAAGCTTTTACATTTACAGTACAGACAGTCAAATCATATCATGGGGGGGGTCTGAGGTACAAGTCCAGGCAGTTACTAAAAGAAACTCAAAAAACACGATACACAGTTTGGTTAGTTTACACCTGAGGACGTGCTCCGGGCTCTGACGTCCCTCAGCTTTGTTAAACCCACAGTCGGGTTCAGTTAATCTGAGAACAGCTGACCAGCCCGGAGACAACGGTCACCATGAAGAAACACATCGGGGCTCCGCCCTCTTTCTTCTCCAACAGACACCATTGTGTGGTCTGTACATAAACTGCATTTAGTATTTTATTTGTTGAACTAGAACAGCTACTAGTGATGTTTTACTCACAGTGGCCGAGGGTTCAAGCTCCAAATATACAGTTTTTAAACCAAAATATTCAAATGTTAAGGACCCTCAGACCGCCTGTCTCTTTACAATACAAACACTCAGGCTCTTATTGTGGCGGGGTGTTACAGACAGTTTCAGGTACAAGGCACAAATTATTCAAAACGTCCACAATGTCCTTGTAGAGTCGCAGTACACAGAGGTGGAAAGTACCTTTACTCAAGTACTGTACTCTTTTTTTGATGTACTAGTACTTTGTTTTGTACTTTAATGTTTATATTTTATGCAACTCCTTTTAAAATCGGAGAAAGTCCATTTCTCTCTGATATGAAGAACTTATGGCGATTATTTTTCTTTGTACATTTGTTGTACTTTTACTTAAGTAAAGTTCCACCACTGTAAAAATACTGCATAGTGTTTTTAACCAGTAATTTGTCCTTTGAGCTTCACTGTGATGTGACACATTATTAAGAGGATTATTGTTTTTATTAAAATCTCCCTGAACGTTTAATATAAAACCTCTGCTTCTTTATATTAGTTATCTTATTAAATAGAGCTGCAGACATCTAAGAATATCAATTTGATATAATAAAGAATTCAAAAATCATAACACGATATAAAGCATCTCTGTCCTGTTGGATATGGCTTTTCTGACTGCTATGCTAAGCTAACAGCTAGCCTTGTCTCCGTGCATAACAAGGCCATGAGTGACGTTTATTCATCACTCCGAGGTCAGGCGACAATAACGCAGGTTTAGTTTGTATGGAAGCAAACAAAGACATGACAATGACCAAGTTATGAACCGTGACCACGACTGAATACTTGAATACGTTACGTGGACAGATTCAAGTTAAAGCCAGTTATGTGACATGAGGTTTGATTTATCCTATTTCTTTACATAACCGTACAGAAGTACAGATATTTAAGTTTGATTTCATGTCAAATGTGGAATTTAAGAATCTTCATTTTAAAACTTTTTGAAATCAAAAACTTTTTGTTTTGTAGTTTTCCATCCGTCATATTTATAATGAATTTAATCCGCTTTATTCTGAGTCTTCAGGCATTTGTTGACATTATCTTCATGTTTTATTGACGTATTTGTGTATTCAGTGGTGGTTCGTTATTATTCACTTTTCTTTGCTTCCAAACTTTTATCTGAATTGCGATTCACAGAAAAACACATTTTCGCTGACGCGGCTCTAATGATTCTCTAACTCTGAGAAGCGTTTTCACATCAAGTGAAACTTTTCTATGCAACCTGTTGCAAATAACTTCCTCCCCACTCACCCACCTCCTCCCTCTCTCCAGAGCTCCTCCCCCTCTCTCTCTCTACTTCCTCTCTACCGCTTTCCATTTGCCTCCCCGACCCTCCATACATTCATATTTATAAATGTGCGCAAATATGTTGAACCTGCAACACGACGTGGACCGAGTTCCCCTCAGCACGTCTGCTCAGAGTACCAGACTTCTTCTTCTTCTGTTTGCATACATGTGCACATGTGTGACATATTAGTTATTATACCCCCGCCCGCCCCCGCCCCCGCCCTATGAACACACGCAAAACAAGCAGTACATGTACAACACACGAGTAGTACAAACGTGTAGTACACACGTTTGTACGGATCATAACCTGGAGAGTCATTCATCAAACTGTAAAAGTAAAGATCTTTTCCTCTTGGTGTCGTCATGATGAGTAATACGTCATCAGAGTGAATCTGTGTCTCTGATTGGCTCGACTTTAGTCACTCTGAAGTGTACTTCTTAACAGTTTGATGAATACTTTCCAGAAGTACTTCCTCTCGTGTACACTTCTAGCTACAGTACATGTTGTGAATACAGCAGAACGTCACTGTATTCTGATAAAACTCTTTGACTCCGCCCCCTCTCACGTTACCATGACACATATAGCACACACCCACTCGGTACAAGAAGAATATGATATTAATAATAACACTATACGGTAACTTTTACTCCCCCCCCCCCCCCCCCCCCCCCCTTCTGGCTGCAGCCGGGCTCCCATCATGTGGCCCCCATCATGTGGCCCAGCCCTCGGAGAGCCTCATCCGTTTGACCGACGGGCTGTGTCGCTCCTCGTGATTGGCCAGCGGCTGCAGGAGGAAGTTGCCGTGGTGATCCTCGCCGTCCTCGTACGAGCTCTCGCAGCTGGACGCGCTGTCGCCGGGCGAGTGGCCGGCGGCGGAGTAACCGCCCGCGGTGGTCAGGCATCCGCCGATGAGTCCCGCGCCGAGCATGCCGATGCTCCGGTCCCCGGGAGGAGAGGCCGGCTCGGACTTGATGTGGAGGTTGGGAAGGTGGCCGGAGGAGAGGTTCAGGTTTGAGTTCTGACACAAAGTCCTGGAGGACGAGAGGAATACGTTAAACTCTTAGCTTCTATGCTTCCTTGATCGACGTCATACCCCCCCCCCCCCTCAAAGATACTCACCCCATGTGTCCCAGGGCCGAGTGCTGGAGGTTCTGTATCTGCTGCTGCTGCCAGCTCGCTACTGATCCCAGACCAGAACCTCCGAACCCGGACAGAGAGGACAGGTCGCTGCTGAGGGAGAACTCTGAGGAAACACGGAAATAAACCATAAATCATAAATCATCAGTCGGTTTCTCTGAGCTCGTTGACTTTTTATCTCAGCGACACTACGAACATATGATGTCAGAGAATATGATGCACAGCTGGAGATTAGAGGCTACAAGAGGGACGTTCCATAAACAATATATCATGATGTCATTGTATGCCATGAAAGTATCGTTAGACAAATGTCCAAAAATGTCTTGAACAAATCATGTCGGAAAATATGAAAAAGTCATTTAGTATGTTGAAATGTCATTAAAAACTCACATAGAATGTCAGAAATGATCATGAAAAGAAGTCTTTTTTTATTAAAAAGTCAGAGTACAGTATGTCCAAAGAAGTCCGAGTATAGTTTGTCATAAAAATGTTGAGTGTTATTTTTACGAGGAACTTGAACTCTGCTTTTATTTTGGAGGTCCCTGATGATACTTTTATTTTGGAGGTCCCTCATGAACAGCTGATCTGGGTCGTCCATGCTGGAGTCTGAGCTGAAGGAGCTTCTGGTGAAGCTGCACGATGTTCTGATTCCACCAGATTCTTTGGAAGCAGGTTTGAGTATTTTCACAGCGTGGTGTGAGTACTTGTACGTGTGTTGTTGTACTCACCTGTGCCGTAGGAGGAGGAGAGTGAGGACGGATAGCCGGCCATCAGCTGTGCAGGTAGAGTCTGAGCAGCGAGGGACACGGCCGGAGAGGACAGAGACTGAGCCGTCTGAGAGTGATTTATTCTCTGGTTCTGCTAAGACGAGACAAACGGAACGTTACACAGCTGCACGTACTCATACTCCTATACTCATATACTCCTATACTCATATACTCATACTCATATACTCATACTCATATACTCATACACTCATACACTCGTACACTTATACTCATACTCAAATACTCATACACTCATACTCATACTCATACTCATACACTCATACTCATACACTCATACACTCGTATACTTATACTCATACATATACTGTAAGTACTATCAGCCAAAGTATTTTAATTATTATGCTAAATCTAAAGCTGTCAGACAAAGTTAGTGGATAATATTATATTTATATATATTTACTCTGAGATGTAGTGCAGTAAAAAGTACAGTATTTACTCTGAGATGTAGTGGAATAGTATAAAGTATCATTAAATGGTAGTACTTTAGTAAATGTATCTTCAGAATCAACATGAATAAACACGATATACTACTAATACTACTAATAAATAAGTCGGGTGGAAGTTTGTATTTCCTATACATTTAAATAAATCTGACAAAAAACGAATTAGTAAAATTGAAATAATTACTACATATTAAACTATTTTAATTTCTTTAATTTAATAACAATTCTTCTCAACTACATTTTAGAGCTACATGTTGTACTTTTTACTGTACTACATGTATTTGACAGTTGACTTTGCCGATTCTTATTTTTAAAGTATATAACTAAAATACAAAAAGCCTCCGTGATATTAATAACCGACACACTGACATAAATCCATACAGTGAAGGATGAAGTTGAGCAGGACTCACGATGGGCGGCATGTTGCTGCACTTGTTGGAGGGCGGCATCAGAGTCCTGAGGTCGGGCTTACGGCTCATGCTCATTGGAGGAGGACTCTTGTCCGTCATGTTCTTGGACACGCCTCCTGGAGACCCTAAGCCCGGGGACGAGCAGAGGGAAGCGTAGCTCCCGTTTCCTGCAGACGCACACGCACGTTTGTGAGCAAATATAGATTTAACTTTAATAATCAAACACTAACGTAACAGTTTTATCTGATTAAAACCTGATTTAATTCTATTTATGTTGTAGAAATATTAAAATATACAACATAATACAGTACTATTCAATACAACGCATTATAATAAACTAAGAAACACAATGTTAACAGTGTGGGATTAAATACCAACTTTAATATCAGATGAGATGCTGAACAGGTAGCTGGTCTCCAGCTCTCTGAATGATGATAATAATAATACTAATACTAATAATAATAATAATACTAATACTAATACTAATAATAATCATGATAATAATAATAACGATGATAATAATGATAAAGGTGAGTCTTACCCACACTGGAGCCCACAGCAGTCAGCAGCTCTGAGCCCATCAGTCCTACAGACACAAACACGTTCACATGATTCTATCAATATTCACTGATCAATAATCAAACTCATTCTCTCAGTTCATCAGGATTCTCTTCTGATTATTCACACGTAGATAAAACATGTGTCTGAATCAAACAAGTTATAATATTTACTACTGAAGTGAAGAAGAGGATCTGATTCATAACTCTCTTCATCTTCATATCTCTCCTCACCTGCGTTCCCGGTGCTGGAGGGCCTCTGAGGCGACATGCCGTTCCTCTGCAGGGAGGCGTGTGAGTGGGGGAGGGGCAGCAGGTTGTGGTTCCCCAGCCCACAGCTGATCCCGGGGTGGGAGTACAGCAGACCACCTGGAGCCCCGGCCATGTCGTAGCTGGAGGGAACCAGACCCTGCTGGAGGAGACGGGGTTCAGTCAGTCGGCTGTCACTGATGACATATGCTGAATGTATATATAAAAAAAAAAATATATATATATATATATATATAAAGTAAACATACACAGATCCTCTGTCTGTTGATCATGAGGTCGATGTCCTCGTTGATCTTTCGGTACTTGTCGTCAGACTCGGGGCTCTGACCCGCCGAGTCGTCGGCCTCGATGTCGGGGCTGTCGCAGCCGCTCAAACCTTTTTTACGCAGCGTCTGAAAGAAACGTCTGGATGAGTGAAGCATTAATAAATCATAAGACATAAACTGTGCTTACTGGCTGTAGAGCGGAAACAAGGAGTCCGTTCAGAGCAACGTTTCTACAACAAGATGAATGTTTCTTTGAAGCACAAACTGTTGAAAGAAACAATCAGCAGATTGTTCAATAACTTCAGTTATAAATCATAAACATAAACACATAATGTAGACGTCATGTTTTACTATGAGGTAATATAAACATTAAAGTATAACTGCATTAAAACACATCACAAAACAACGAGTTACTCTGATAAAAAGAGGAAATACATGAAGTACTTAAATACTCCACTGGAGTACAATTACTACAATGTTAAGGTACTTTTCCCTCCATGTAGTGTTTGTACTTTTTACTGCATTTATTTAATAACTTTATTCAGATTATTAAAACTAAATATAATCAGCTAATAAAACAGATTTAAACATAAACAGATTAATGCATTAATAGTTATGATACAATAATACAATATATACTATTCTGCATCTTGTGTACTTTTACTTCTGATAATAAGTATATTTTGATGCTAATACAGCGATACTCTGTTAGAGAACATGACTAATGTTTACAGATGAAATACGTCTCGTCCCACCACAGGAGGGCGCTGTGTGACCAGACATCAACTCAAGTACTTCAGGGAAGTACAAATACCTCAAGATGTGACTGAGTATTTCTACTTTCTGCTACTTCTACTTCTCTACGTCTCAGAGGGAAATATGAATAACTTTAGTTACTTTACAGATTCTGATTATTGATACAAAATATAATCAATAATAAATGAAGTATTAATATACATTAAAGTACCAGCAGTACATGAAGTCAGTACAATGAGCTGATGAACACATCATTATAATACAATATACTACTCTGCAGAATGAGTACTTCTACTTTCAGTACTTTGAAGATATTTTGATGATACTTTTTGCTTAAGGTTTTAAACATGTACTATTACTTAAATATAGTATTCATACACTGTAGTATTACTGCTTCTCCTGAAGTATAAGATCCAAGAACTTTTTCCACCACTGTGTGCGCGTGTGTGTGCGTGTGTGTGTGTGTTGCAGTGACAGACTGGACTAATGGGCTGTGAAGTGCTGAAGCAGACGACTGAGAGCCAAACCACATACTGTACAACACACACACACACACACATGCGCACACACACACACTCACACACTCACACACACACACACACACACACACACACACACACACACACACACACACACACACACACACAGGGCTCAGCGGTTGGCCCAGTGCAGCTATCCCACTCATCCCAGTCATGTCCACCTGTTTGGCTTCAGAGAGGGGGGGGGGGGGGAGCTACCACCAATACCAGCGTAGCTCCCGGGCCGATGGCCGTAGAAGGCTATTTTTTGCTCCGCAGCGTTTCTCGTCACTCCCTCACAATCTGTCAATCTGGCTCGTCTATTAAAACATTAAACCCACTGCAGCACGCACACACACACACACACACACACACACACACACACACACACACACAC